TTAGATTGCTATTAGTCACTCACATTTTATTATAAATTAGTTTGAAGCCCCCATGGATTAGCTGCCTTGAGGGAATAACAGTTTTGATAGATGGAGGAGGGAAGGGGGAGATGACTTTGGAGCACAGTGTATTGACAAGGAAAGGCTGATTTGGGTATGATCGGAGAGCAAGTGGTATAAACACCCAGGGACTGGTAGGTGTTAGGAGGAACAGATACAGGAAAGAGAAGAGGGGGGATGGTGGAAACCAAGATGGCAAATACTAAAGGCAACCTTTTTCTTTGATCTTTTCTAGAATAAGCTTTCATAATGTTTCTTGTGTCTGTTTTCTGAGGTGTGCAAATAGTGACCCAAAAGAATCCTCAGACTTTTTTGGGACTGTGAATAGCCTGGGTTCCCCTGGCTCTTTCCTAGAGTCTGACTTTGCTCAGGAAATCTTCTATCGTGCTCCAAGAATCTCGTGCACACATCTGTCTCCCCATTGATCACAGAGTTGCTTCAACGGCCTTTCTCTCTCGCCACTTTGTGTGGCACCGTGAAATTGGACCTATGACTAAAGAGAGTGACATTATTTCACAGGGGAGTTCAGGTATTTGGTTAAAGATGTCATCTGGCCTGGGCACCACTGAAAGACCCTCCAAACAGGCATAGAACAGTTATTTCAAATTCTTGGAAGAAGTCATTTTTCTACTTTCTCTGTGTAGCCTGTAGTCAACATTTATTCATCATGTACTCTGGATCAAGGCATAAAAAAGTGCCTTATGTGCAATGTTGTCCTGATCTTTGCAGACAGCCCTATGAAGTAGGTGCTATTTTTTTTCTCTAACTACATCTGATGAAAAATAGAAGGTGTTAGGATTACATTCAGCTATAGCTAATGGAAAACATGACATGTAGTGCCTCAAACAAATAAGGGGTTTATTTTCCTCATGTCATGGAGGGTAAAGGGAGGCAGTTTAGGCTTGATATGTTAGGCTCCAGATTCCATCAACTCTTCATTCCAGCATCTGTAGCGTGTAGATTTCTTCCTCATGTTTGTTGCCTTGTGGTTACAAGATGTCTGCTCTACCTCTGGCATTGCATCAGCATTACAGGAAGGAAGAATAGGAAAGGCTAAAGCAGTGGTTCTCATTTGGGGGCAATTCTATTCCTAGAGGATGTTTGGCAATATCTGGAGACATTTTTGGTTGTCACAACTTGGGGAGGGGGTGTTGCTACTGGCATCTAGTGTGTAGAAGCCAAAGATCCTGATAAATATCCTGTAGTCTACAGGACAGCTCCCACAACAAGAATTATCTGGCCCCAAATGTCAACAGTGTTAAGGTTAAGAAACCCTGGACTAAAGGCAGAAAGCACATGCTAGCTGAGTCTGCCCTCTTTTAAAATGGATTCCTAGAAGTGAAACAAGGACATTGTTATATGTGGTTGGCTGGGATCTCATCCCATAGCCAGCTGTAGCTGCAAAGGAAGCTGGGCAATGCAGCTATTTTTCGTTGGGATCCTTGTCACCCTGAGCAGAATTGGGGTCAGATAGTGAGGGAAGGAAAGGAGAATAGATATTGGGTAGACAATAGGCAGTATTTGCTTCAGAAAAGTTAAGTACTTTGCCTAAGGTCACAGAGGTAGTGACGATCAGCAGTGGCTTGAGCCTCCTCCATTGAAGAAGGAGGTCCAGCTGTCATGTGCAGCCCCTTTCTAGAGGTTTGTGTGAACAAGAGATGGAGATACATGCACTGGTTACAGAAAACTCGGGTTTTTGATCAGCCACAAGCAGCCTAGGAAATATTTCTTGCAAGGCATAATATGCAGTCTCTGATCTATTTATACAACTGTTCTCTCAGTGTTTGCAGTAGGACTTGTTTTTCCTTCTTGTCCAGGTGACCCGTGGGGTAATTGATTTCAGGCCTGCCTCACTAATATTTTGCCCTTCAATAAACCATCAAACTGTTGGTGCTTCATTTCTCCCATTCTGAAAAAGTTAAAAAGTGATGTGATCACTATTTGGCTTACAGGGTTTATCAGTTAGAGTTCATTCGAGAAAACAAAAGCCCTTCTAAGTGTGTCAAGCAGGAGGATGTTTAATACGGGGAATTGGAGGCTTATGCAACCATTGGGAGGGATGGGGAGTGCAGGGCAGAGTATGCCAGTGATCTCTGCTGCCCGCACACAGAATGAGTCTTCTCAGGAGAATGCCTGGAAGCTGCTGGCAAAGCTCTATATCTGCTGTTTGCAGATGTCCCTGTGCCTGCACATAGCTACCAATGGTGAATGAATAAATGATGTCTCCTTCTCTTCTAACTTTCAAATCTCTATGAGTGCTTCTCGTTAGCAGAGTCTAACTTGGAGCCATGCCCCATGGGATTTTGGGAGATGTAGTTCTGAAGCTTCTCAGGGGAGAATGTAGAATAGAGTGGGGTAGAATGATGTGGAATTGACAGCACACTCTCTGGCAGGAGGAGCATTTAAGTTTGAATAGAAGCATACATACACAGCACATTTTGGGAAGAAGAGCACTCTATTCAGATGTTGGCAATGTTACTACTAGTATTATTACCTTATTCTATCTATGTGTCCTTGGGAGATGAATAGGGATTCTTCGTGTATCTGTTCTGGCTCTTTTCAAGTCATGGTGTTGCTAAATAAATAATAAGAAAGGATTCAGTGACCTGCATATACAGTGCAGGAGGTAATATATTCTGTGAAGCTCCATAGTGCAGTGGGGGTCCCAGAGCGTGAGGTTTGAAAAACAATGCATAATTCACCAGCATGCTCCAGAAAGATTAGTGTTCAGAAAACAATTGTGGATGACTCAGCTTGTATATTTATTTTTTGGAAACTATCTGGAGCTCTTTATTTGCTATAGTTATGCATGTGATTTGTGGTGAGCTGATAAAATACAGTAAGGAATTAAATACAATGAGGGAAATAGAACAACCTTGGAACAAGGTAACTGTAGACATATGACGTATTGTTTGGTGGTGGGAGAGGGTTGTAACCTCTGGTTGGTTATCTACTATCTGGGTCACATCAGGCTTTCAGTGTAATTCACGGGATTTTGAAGGCAGAATTTGATCTGTGCTATATTTGAGTCTCTGGAAGAGCAAAACCCATTATGATGGTGTCCTATGGCACTTGTAAATTCCTCTCTGAGTCTGGGGTTTCAGGTATCTGCTGATATTTAATATCTGAATTATCTCAAGGAAGATAAGGAAAACGTACTATCTTATTCTGTTTATTTCTTGAGTGAGGAAAATTGAAAGGATCTAAAGGAAAAAACTCGTTACCAAGAGCCATGTGCAAAGGTCACTGGTTTTGCTTTACTGGAATAAAACCAATGCATTTGGGGTTGCCTGGTGTCTTACTTTGGGTCTTCTAGAGGCAAAGCTGGAGATAAGGATTCGTGTGCAAGTGATTTATGATTTATTCAACAAGTGCTCCCAAGAGAAACCAGCAGGGGAGTGGGGGATGCCACATAGGGGAGGGTGAGAGACGGGCAAGGGTACGGTTTCAGGGGAAGTCTCGGACAGCCTGATCCTGTGGGAACTCGGGCGTGCAAATTATCCCTCACACTGTGTCCTGAATTGAGGCAAAGGAGCTGGGCTTTCATTCTGCTGCTACAGTCAGTCACTGGTTGAGGGCTGCTGGGTGGGAGTGGCGTGGGGATAGGGGCCGAATGCAGATAAACCCCCAGGAAGTAACTTTTTTCAGTGCAGGCAAGGTGCTCTAGTGCCCTAGGAGGCCTTCAAAGAGTCTCAGGTGCTGGCTATTAGAAAAGAAAAAGAACATCGATGCTGGGGAGGCATGTACAGAAGTGATCAAAGGGATCCGAGGGGGTTGGGGCAGACCCCCGACAACGTACTTACTCTTTAAATAAACTACTCTTTTTATTTTTGTGAAATCCGCAATCTGGGGAGAGAGGAGAAACAAATTTTCTTGTGGAACTGTAAAGTTTCTCTAGAGCAAGGGTTGGCAAAGTTTTTCTATAAAGGGCCAGGTACTAAATATTTGAGGCTTTGTGGATCACAGAGTTTCTGTAACAACTATCAACTTAGCCATTGTAGTGCAAAAGCAGCCATAGATTACACGTAAATTGTGGGCATGGCTGTGTTCCAATAAAACTTTATAAAAACTGATGAGGAGGGAGACACTAGATTGGCTCAGGGGCCAAACAGTTTGCCAGCCCCTGCTGTGGAGGCTCCTTATATGTGCCTAGGGTGATTTTTTTCTTTATCCATTCCCTATATGCTGCAAAACACAGGGAATAATTAGTATGTCTCTTAAAGGATGGTTATGATGCATCTTAAATTAGTCTGGACACCCTACCTCCAATCTTTCTGGCGTCTTGGCCATCATTCACAATGTTGCACGGATAATCTCGCTGAAGGGTGACTCATCTCATTTTACTCGTGCTAAAAATATTTAGTTTCCTCTTATCTATAAAATAAAATAATAGACTCTTTAGCATGGCATTCAGGAATCCCTGTAATCTGGCCTAAGCTGGTTTTCCTGTATTGTTTTCTGCTCTTGTGCTTCCTAGTCCAGCTACAGCAGGCTGCTCACCATCTCTCCAAAATGCTCTTTGTTTCCGCCTCCCTGTCTTTGTCCCTGCTGCTTACTTTCCTGGAATGTCCTTCCTCTCAACTCTTCATTTTGAAATCCCAACCCTTCTCTAAGACTCAGTTTGGTCACGTTCCCCATTAAGCATTTTCCTCATGAAGAAATAGTCTCTGCTCTGGACTTTGATAATATTGTCTATTTCTATTAAAACCTTTATTTTATTTATCTTGTACTACGTACTTATTTGCTACATTCACTATATTTTTAGTATATTGAGGGCAGGGACTAACTTAAATTTTTTTTTTTGCCCTTCACAGTGGGTTGCAGGTAGCAGATATTCATTAAAGAGAGTTTTCAGATGAAGGTTGCATTCCTACGTCCTGTGATTATTAATGATTTAAGTGCTGAAACTCTGACATCATTTTTCTTTTTCCTTTTTATAGGCAAGAGCTGTTTTGGCAAAAGTTGGCTATCCTGAGTTTATAATGAATGATACTCATGTTAATGAAGACCTCAAGGCAGTAAGTGCTAAATTTACTGTATTTTTTTACTGGCAAGTTTTACTGGCCTCGTGCCTTTCAGCTAATCCAAGTCCAAGCAATTAAACCTGGTGGTGCCAGAAAGCACCAACTTTTGATTCATTCCTTGGCTAGATATGAGCCTCAATATGCCAGCCATATCATGACATTTAGAAGATTCAAAATAAGGGAGGTGTCAGAAAGAATGCATAGCTGAGTGGGTCCAAAGCAAATGGACTTGGATTCGGTCTAATTTGATCATAAAGGAAAGAATTAAGCAAATTGAGTATTTTACAACTAGTAGGCATGTTCTAATGGTGAACGCATGATGTTTGTTGTTAAACAGTCTTTATGTGCTTCATTCATATTAAATGACTAGTAATAAATCTGCCTGCTGGGAGTTAACTTCACTAAACTTTATGAATGTTTTGGAAAATTAAGTGCATATACGTATGACTCTATAATTTATTGTGAGTTGGCCTATATATTTGCAGTAAGTTACTGATGGAGGAACAGTTATAATTCTCTGTTATTCCAATATTTTGGGACATGTATTTTATAGTAGATATATTAATTACTGGCCTTTATAATCACAACCACTGTTATTTCCTTTCCTACAAATGGTTCTGATAAAGAACTTTTCTTCCTCACAGAAACCCCTGTTTTTACCATTCACTAGATTTTCTTGAAAAAGTAGTTTTTTGGAATTCCTTAAATAACAATGGTTCTGAGGTATAGCTCTTTCCTAAAATTATAGTTTGACAAGTTACATTTATGAAAGCAATCCTAGCTTTGTAGAGGAAAATCAAAATTTTACAAGATTATTCAAAAGCGAGAGAAAGCTTTAGTTAGAAAGTTTCTCCATTAGACTCCAAGATACGGCCTTCCAAAGTATTGATCCAGTTGCTACGGAGGAACATAATTATGCTTCACCATATCCCAAAGCTCAGACAGCTTATCTTGCTATACATTGTTTTGATGCTGAAAAATCTCACTATTATTATGATAATTAAAAATACTGACGTACTTGACACATTCATGTACGTTATCTTTTAAGGGCCACAGCGATCCTGTGAAATAGATAGTATTTATCCCCATTTTGCAGAAAAGGACATAGAGACTCAAAGAAGTTAAGTGATTTCCTCAGTGCCATGCAGAGTGTCAGAGCCAGGACTGAAATCTGGGCCCAGGAAGCTCTGCCTGTAGTCAGAGAAAGGGTTCTGCAGGGTCCTTGTCAGACAGCTGCACTGGAGGAACAGAGGAGGGGGTTTGAAGAATTGCTGGGAGCCGCTTTCCCAGAGCTGGTTGGGAAGGGAGAAGAGAAGAGGGACGGTCATATTGTCAAGTGGTTAACAGCACAGGCTCTGGAGTGATTCTGCATCTTCCACTTACTAGTTGTTTGATCTTGTGCAGGTTACTTAACTCCAGTTAGCTTCCCTTTGGTTATCCGGGTACTGGAGATAATAATAACCAAGTCTTAGTATTGTTGGGAAGATTAAATTAGGTTATATAAAGGTAAAAGCACCTAGCATAATGTCTGGTGCATAAGTAAGCTCCCTATAAATGGTAGCTATTACTTTATGGATCAGTGTGAGAACTGTTACTGCTAAGAAGAGCCTCACCACGGCACAAAGTACCTTAGCAGGAGAACCTGGATAATTACATGTGATTGGCAAATATTCCAAGTCAAGGATACAGACGAGAAGGTTGGAGAGGCAGTTTGGTGTAGTGGGTATGAACATGGACCCTGGAGTCAAAGCGCCTGGAGCTAAATCGCCAGTCTGCCATTTACTAGCAGTGTCACGTAGGGTAGGTTATGTAACCTCTCTGTACCTCAGTTTCCTCATATCAAAATGGAGATAATAATAATCCCTCCCTTATAGGGCTGCTGTGAGGATCAGATAATTTAACATATTTAAAGTATTTAGAACTGGCCCTGGCACACAATAAGCACAATCTAAGTGTTAGTTATGACATCTTCAATTTGCACTTATGACAGTAGATTATTTTGGTTTGGAAAAGTCATTATGAATTAACTCAAGCAGTATCCAGGTGCCTCAAATTGATTTAAAAGGCTATACAGAGGGAACAGTCTCAAGCTTTAATCAAATAAGATAGCATTCAGAGCTCACTCACAATATTTAGTTGATCAAGTTTTGTTGGCAGTCTGCCGTGGTCTAAAGTGAGTGCCCAAAATTTAAGGATTCACTGAATGCAGTAATCTTTTGTGAAAAGAAATCAGATGCCAAACAGGATGCAGTGTTGGGTATGTTTCCTTGTTTCTCCAGGGTCTGAACTGAAGCCGTTAGACACCAAGATCTTTAAGCATTTTTGTGAAGAAATGGCTTTCATCTGACTCATTGCCAAAGCAGACACAATTACACCCAAGAGTTTCTAACAGTTTAAAAAACAGACAGTGAAAAAAATCCAAATACATGAAATAAAAATACATTTGTGTTCAGAAACTGATAGGAAAAACGAATAAAACCGAACCTGAAAATAGGTAAAGGATGCTTGATGTGATAGATAGTAAGAGTGACACTGAGGTTAAGAGCAAAAGGACTAAAGTATTGCTGGTACACAATGAGACTGTGTTTTCAGTTTTGAGAAACATGTAGATAAAGACTACTGTAGGGCCTATGAGAAATTTCTGGTAATACAAGCTGTGAGCATGAGAGGCTGTTCCAAATGAAAAACAGCTTACTTCATTTGATGCAAGTGAAGGTATGATTCATCAGGCAAAACGCAAAAGGAACAAGGATAGAGATTAGGTAATGGATCAGATGAAGGTCAAGGAGAAAGGTTGAAAACTGAACCTCATGTGGAGATAAGAACAAATGGAAAAGAACTTATAGGCAAATGTGAAGGATTAGAGAAAAATTGTTTGTTTTTCCCTCTGAGGATGACAAGGTAAACTGAGATACCCTGCCAAGTATTTCTGAACAACAATCTTTCTGTAGTTTTTGACAAGAGCAAGAAGAAAAGAAATGCCCTTTATGTGAACTCCCAGTACTGTGCAGGAAAGCCTACTGGTTAGCCTAAAAAGGTAGGCATGAGTCCATTTTCAAATTAGCATTCTAAAGTGTTTCTTCATTGATCCTTGATGGAAATAGACTCAAGAGTGAGTTGAATAAATACCCAGAAGTGGAATAGCTGGATTATATGGTAGTTCTATTTTTAATTTTTTTGAGGAAGATAAACACATAGATACAGAGAGCAGATTGGTGGTTACCAGGGGGAAGGCGGAGGGGGAGGGCAAAAGGGGCACGTGTATGGTGATGGATGTCAACTAGAGTTCTGGTGATGAACATGATGTAGTCTGTACAGCAGTTGCAATATAATGACATATACCTGGAATTTATATAATGTTAAAAACCAATGTTACCTCAATAAAAAAAAAAAAGAGTGAGTTGATACCATTTTTGGAAAGATTTCTGTATCAGCTGGGAAAGCCAAAACCACACCAGGTATTTCTTTTTCTTTCTTTCTTTTTTTTTTTTTTTCCTGAGGGAGATTAGCCCTGAGCTAACATCTGTACCAATCTTCCTCTACTTTATATGTGGGTTGCCGCCACAGCATGGCCGATGAGTGGTGTAGTTCTGCGCCCGGGTTCTGAACCTGCGAACCTGGGCCACCCAAGCAGAGCATGCCGAACTTTTAACCACTACTCTATGGGGCTGGCCCCCACACTAGATATTTCAAAGAGAGGATATTAATACAGGAAATAGGTTGGAAGGCAAAAATTGAGAAGGTGGGGTAAACCAGAGATTAATAACTTCAGGAAGCAGCTACCACTCCTGTGTCTAGGGGCACAAAGGGGAGGAGGTGACGGTATCATCACTTAGATGATAGGAGAGCAGAGGAGGAACCAGCACTCCAGAGCCGGAGCTGTGGAGGAGGGACTGAAGATTCTTCCAGAGTCATTGTCAGAAGAAGAAAGAGTAGAGAGAGAGAATGAAAGAGAACAAACACAGCATCCTTTCCCCTCCTGCTACCTGCTGATTTCCCCCAGTGCCTCCTATTGGCAGGAAACCAACTGGCAACAGAGCCTGGGAAACGTAGTTTTCAGATTCCCAGCCCCAGCCGTACAGAACAGAGTTAAAGGGTAGACATATAGCTGAGAGACAATAGATAAATAATTGGTACCATTAGGCACTTCACTCATTCTTGTGAAAGCCAATGGAGAATTGCAGTAGGGGCTAAAGTCAGAATCACAGCTGGCCTCCATTTACTTAGGAGAATTTCAGAGAAGATCAATGTTTCTGTGAATGATATACACACACATACATAAACATATAAATATGCACGTAGAGATACATAGGTGTGTGAGCCCACATAATATTCTCTGGGGTGGGTCTTGGTCTGCTCTAGCCAGTGGAACACTTGTCTGTATGTTTTGTGCGTGTATAAACGACAGAAGGTGCTACTGCCACTACGCAAGAGTATGGTGATATTTAGGTGGAATGCTCCAGAAAAACACGTTGTTAAAATATTGAAACTATTCTGTACTCTTTGTTAAAAAAATAGTACATTGTCCCCAGCTCTCTCAAGTGATCTGGCCACCATGGCCCTGGAGAGCCAAGAGTGGTCAGCTAGCCCTCTGTAACTCCCCCACACTGGCCTCTATCTTGAGTGTTCCACTGGCCAGAGCAGACCAGGACCTCTCCTTACTGCTGGTAGTGGCAACAGGGATTCCGGTTTCCGGCTGCTGTGCTAGCTGGCACTCCCTCAGAGTCACCCTTATGTGGCTGCTTGTGGGAACTGCATCTTCCACAGTGTACCATATATGTAGGTTCTTAAACATTTTGAACACCACCCCTGTATGTGCATATGTATATATGTATACACACGTACTACTTATGGGCAAAGCTATCTAAACACAGCAATCTTGCATATTAGCTATTTAAATAAGGGAAAACATAAATATAAAATCTGGATTCCATTAAGTATTTAGAAAATTTTTTGGGTGCCTAACAAAATCTTTCTTTTAGGTATTTGGATATAACTCTGAGTATCTTGAAATGGATTTAACTTAAACAAAAAGTGTTCTAGAATCTATACTTCCTATTGGCTTATGAAGTGTCTTATCACCATGTACTTACTGATCCTATAGAGAAGCTGAACACATTTCCTTGTTCTGCCCTTATTACTTGTTCTTCGCCTTTGGGGGGGTAGTAGCTTTATTCTTCCATTTAGTCTGTGGCATTTGGTGCTTGGCATCCAGAGTAGGATTTCCAAGAAGAGAAATTCTAATTCCCCTAAATTTTATGATCTGGACAGCTATTCCTAGGAAATGACAGGAGAGGCCCAGTTACTTCTCAAAAGGTCACTCAATTGAAAAGTCAGGAGATGGAATTGATTGAAAGTCATTATTAACTTGACCTCGATTTTCACCAGTAACTGAAAGGACAAGAGGCTTTCAATCCAATTATTGTCCCTTGCAGAGTTTAACCATTTTTTTTTTGGAAGATTACAAGTGGTTTTAAAATATTCATGCACATTCATTCTTGTTGCTATCTCTACAACAAGTGGAACTTTCCCAGTGGTTGCTGGGCTTCCTAGTTTTTTCTCACTTGAGGGCCTAATAATTTTGATAATATTTGAAATTTGAAATTATCAACGTATTAGCACGTGATGGAAAAATTGGGAAACAGAGAAAAGGAACAGAAAAGCACCCATAATATTGGTTCTCGAAAATAATAATACATGCTTCAGTTTTAGTGTGTTATTTTGTCTTTCTATTTTTGTATAGCTGTAATTGACGCTTATATATAATTTTGTACACTGACCTTGAAAGTTAATGTAATGTTTTCTCCTTGTCTTCCATAGCCTTCATTACCATTATTTTAACAGCTGTATGACATTAAGTAAAGTGTACCATGATTTATTTCATCACTGCTGCTTCTTCTACCCATAATTCTTACCTTCTCCTCCTCCTTCCCTGTACTCTTTCTGTTGAATCACCGGTTTTCTTATTAGGACCAATGAAGATAACAATGAAGTAGGAGCCTGGTGAAGTAGGACTGTATGGCTTTGCCGAGTTCCGTAATCTCTCTAGCTCTGTTTCCCATCTATCGTATGGGAATGACAATGGCTGGACCCTCCCTACCTCAGAACACTTAGCCTGTCTCACAGGAAAAAGTAAAATTTGTTTCCTGTTACCTGTGATTTCCATCAAATAAATGGAATAGATCAATTAAACTGGGCTAAGAAATAGCAAATAGTCTCAGTTTAATAATTAAAACAATTTTAAAATTGTCCTTCTAAGCATAGATAAACTGTTGGCAAATTGTAATTACTTTCCTCTGAGTTTTGCTCCCCATGATTGTTTTCATAGCTGTGGTAGGAACTTATTTAAAGTATTTTTAGACTTGGGACTCTTCTTTAGGAAATTTTTAGATGGTTTTCCATGTAATGTCTGTAGAACAACCTGAATGTAAAGTTTTTTTTTTTTTTCAAATGGAACAGGAAAGTATCACGATTAGCAAACTCTTCTAAAAATAACAACTGACCCCAGTGATATTACCAAAAATAATAGTTGATATTTTTGAAGGAAATTCCTTTGGGAGAATTTCCCGGAAAGTATTTTTAACCCGAGAACATATCTGAATTTTCTTCAGTTATAATCATATTCTGAAAGTTCTGGCAGAGCTGTCTTGGGGACAAAAGCTAAAAAAGGCTAAGGATTGAACAGTGGACACATCTTTTAAATATATGATTCAGGAGTGCATTAGGATGGCTAGTTAAGGTTGCTTCCTAAAACAAGGAGCTTACTTTGTTTCTTCTGAGGCTGAGTATAAACGTCTATCTTAAAATACAATCGATTGTAAGATTTCTTTTTATTATGAAGCATCTTAAACATTGGAAAAGTATATAAAATCATATTTTGAACACCTCTAGCTTTAACAAATATTAAACATATTGCCATATTAGCTTTATACATGCACACACACATTTTAAATGAATAAAACAGATACATTGGAAATTGTTTGTGGAATCTCTTGTAAACCTAATGTCCTTCCTCCCTGCTACCTCTTTCCCTAGATATAAATACTGTCTTGAATTCAGTGTTTATCATTCCCATACACTTCTTTATGCTTTTGCTACATAGGTATGTATCCATAAACAACATATAGTATTGTTTTACATGGTTTAAAACTTTAAATTCTCTTGTACATACAACTTGCCTTACTCACTCAGCATTGCTTTTGAGGTTATTTCATGTTCACGCATACAGATCATTTGTTTAAAGTGCTGTATTGTTTTCCATTATGTGACTGTACCATGATTTATTAGCCACACCCCTAAGAGGATTGAGGGAGGGACAGTTTAAAGTCATATCTTTGTAACTTGTTGGACAAGTAGAACACCAAGGATGCTAGGAATTGGTACTTTTATTCTTGCCTTTCTCCTTGTGCCTTTAATTATTTTACTCTTTTCTTTATATTTTGGCCCGGCCCCCTGGAAAGATTATGATTAATCAATAACAAAAGTTACTCCACAGACATAATGAGTACCCACTATATATGTTAGGGAAGAGATAAACCTGAGTCAGACATTGGCCGACAAATAGTCCACTGTCAAGTCTATAACTGTCAAGTTGTATGTATATTCATATCTGTAATGTAATGCCTGTGGGTTTCATATACATTTATTTGCTATATTTTAATGTTTTCTTTTAAAAGAGTATCATGGTTTAAATTTATAAAAATATTACAGCTAATAAGAATTTGATTACTCTTGCTTATTTGCTTATTCAAATGTGTATTTTTCTTATTTTATTTGCCACAATAATATGTTAAAACCAAAGCATTAGAGATCGCTAAAAGCCATTGCTTTTACTATTACACAGATATTATTTAGAACATTTAGGTTAAGTACTGCTAGTTTTGTAAATAGAGTACCTATAGAATTGAAACTGTCTGCCATTCTCCTTCCGAAAAAAGAAAGGAACTCAAGAATCAATTATGTCTGTTTCCCTATTTTAATAGGCAACACTGTTGTGAGCCATCAACTTCCTGTTTTTCCATGTAAGCTGTAATCTATGATTTGCCTCTATAATTTTATTAATTTTTAGTGATCAGAGCAGTTTTTGAGTGTTAATAGATAAATTCTATTAATAATTATTCTAGTGACTCTATTGTGCTTAGGGTGGAAAATAAGTCTCTGAATCACCTTCATTTTTTTCCTTCATGAACAAATGCTGATTACAGTAAATTGGATTTTAACATTTGACTAAATCATCATCTATAAGCTAAATGACGTGTCAGCTGACTAAACTGAATGTTATCAGAAGAACCTATGTGACAAATAAATAAAGTACACATTTTAGAAAAGATGAAGGACTCATGTGGGCCAAGAAATTTCAAACCTAAGATAATATGTTCTGTAAAGTTTAAAGTAGATTTTTCAATTATAAAGGAAATGAAATGCATTGTAAATTACTGCAGCTTCTCTTGTTTTTCACTGTGGTCCAGAAATGACCATATTGATTTTTGAGCTTTTTATTGTAAAAGAAAATCACTGAGATTAAATTTCATGGCTTTGTGAATACTGGGTTAACCGGTGACGGCTGAGAGATTCTGTGAGGAGTGCAGCTTCTCCGTTGGTCTCTCATTTGTGCACTGAAGTTTTTTTTCAGAGCCATCTCTTATCTGCACTTAGAACAATGATGGTTGTGGTTTGTTTTATTCAGATCAAGTTTTCAGAATCTGACTACTTTGGCAATGTCCTGCAAACTCGCAAGTATTTAGCACAGTCTGATTTCTTCTGGCTGAGAAAAGCTGTTCCAAAAACAGAGTGAGTAACAACAAAAAAAAAGTGAAATAGATAAATATGTTGGTGGGAAGCGGAGTCTCTTTAGATCAAACTTTGTAATTCCCCTCAAGTCAGAGTAGCTGGCTTACCAGTTATCTTGGTTTGGCAACATCTGTGTTATGTTTTGGCAACTCTTATTTCTGATTTTGTATGAGTCAGTTCTTCAACTGAATTACAGTTACCCCCCCGCAGCATCAAAACATAGCAAAAGACGGCCTATTAGGATGCAGACGTTCAAATCATTTCTAGATCTAGTTATGAATATATTTATAGAAAACAAATTTCTCTAGAATTTCACACTCAGAAACTTTTGAAGATTTTAAAAAAGAACAAATATTTTAAAAATAAAGTATGATTACAAATGTAGAAGTAATTGTATAATTATGAAGTAACTAGGAGGTGTTTGTTGAGGTAATAAGTGTCAAGGAACTGATAGCTCTATTATTTGCCTCCAATAGCAGTTATGATTTATTCCTCTTCTTCCCAGCTGCCTGTAGAAACTTTCCCTACAGGTAGGAAAGTTTCCCTAGGAATTTTTGGGGCCAGGGCCAGCCGTGATTTCCTTCCCTAGCAAAATATATATGATGATGATGATAGCAGCTAACAATTATTATGTGTTTACAGTGTGCCAGGAAGTGCTTTACATATTTTAATTTGTTTTATCCTCTCGTCAATTCTATAAGGTCTAGGTACTAGTTATTTATTTTATTCTATTTTTTTGTGAGGAAGATCAGCCCTGAGCTAACATCCATGCTAATCCTCCTCTTTTTGCTGAGGAAGACCGGCTCTGAGCTAACATCTATTGCCAATCCTCCTCCTTTTTTTCTTCCCCCCCAAAGCCCCAGTAGATAGTTGTATGTCATAGTTGCACATCCTTCTAGTTGCTGTATGTGGGACGTGGCCTCAGCATGGCCGGACAAGTGGTGCGTTGGTGTGCGCCCGGGATTCGAACTCAGGCTGCCAGTAGTGGAGTGCACGCACTTAATTGCTAAGCCACGGGGCTGGCCCCTCTAGGTACTATTTATTATCCCTGTTTTACAAATGAATAAGAGGCTTACAATTGAGAACTTCTTCAGCTCAGGTTTAGATTGCTTTTTCTGCCTGCTGGCACTTTTGACTCTGTTCTGCTATAGTCCACTTCTCCAGTGTTTTCTTCTCTCTGTTCTCCAGATTGGATAATTTCTATTGGTCTAACTTCAAATTCTCTGATTGTTTTTTCTGCATTCTCAAATTTGCTGTTGACCCATCTAACACATTTTTCATTTTTATTATTATACTTTTCAGCTCTAGAATTTCCATTTGGTTGTTTTTCATACTTTCTATTTCTCTGTTGTGATTCTTTGTTGAGTCATTGTCATCATATTTTCCATTAATTCTTTGAATATAGTTCATTTTAATTCTTTGGACTACAGTCATGCACCGTATAATGACGTTTTGGTTAACAATGGACTGCATATACAATGATAGTCCTATAAGATTTGTACTGTATAGCCTAGGTGTGTAGTAGGCTATACCATCTAGGTTTGTGTAAGTACTCTATGATGTTCATACAATGACAACATCGCCTAACAGTGCATTCTCAGAATGTATCCTTGTCGTTAAGTGATGGGTGACTGTAATTTATAATTGCTACTTTCAAGTCTTTGCTAAATCCAACATCTGGGCTCACTTAGAGTCAATTTTTATTGATTGCTTTTTTTTTTCTGTTACACGTTTCTCTTTCTGTGCATAGCATAATTTTTTGTTGTTGAAAATGACATTTTAGATAATATATTGTAGCAACTGTGGATTCTGGTTTATTTTTCTGAGGCTTTTTTAAAAGTAACTTTCCTGGACTTACACTGCAGAATCTGTCTCCCCTACAGAGTGTGGTCATGGATGTCTCTGCTCATGTTTTTAATTCTTATTTTTATCTTTTAGCCTCACTTCCTAGTGGGTGTCCCTGTGTCTGCATAGCTTAGTGCTCAGCTGGGGATCAGGGCAGAGCTTGTGCTTAAACACCTTGAACCTGTAGGGCTTCTGCCCTCTGCCAATTGATCTGTGGGAGATTGGGAGTGCATTCTAAGTCACAACTAGTTCTCAGTTGGCCTTGGTGTTTACTTTCCACCGGGCTCTCTCAGGTGTCCCCTGCACATGTGCCTAATTTCCCAGTTAACCAAGGATGTGTGGAGAGCTTATCTCACCCTTCTATGACTCTTTCAGTTCCAGGTTCTCCCTTTTAAATTTCTGGCTAGTCCATCACTCTCCCCAGTGGGACCCATAACTTCAGGCTAGCAAAGCTGTGGGTTTTCCTCATTTGTTTTCTACCAAGTTCGCCACTTTTAGCTGATGAAGCTGCAGGTTTTCACCCCCACCCCCAATTGAGTCCACCCCTGGTGGCAGCAAAGCTATGGATTTTCCAGCCAGCCTTATCCTGATAAAACTAAGTTCTCACTGACCAAGCTGGGAGGGATGGGAGCAGTCCCAGGCAAGAAGGCCACAGACTCCTCTTCTACTTACTCCCAAGCTCTAGCAGTTTTTCAAAATTAAATGTTTTCCAATTTGTTGTTTGCCTTTGATAATTCCTAGAGCTCTAAAATTGTTGTTTGTTGGCACTTATGTCCAGTTTTATACTTGATTTTTGTGGAAAGGATTTGTTGACCTTTTCATGTCATAGTGGCTGGAAGCTTGGCTTCCAAGACTCACTTTTTTTTTTGTCATGGCCCACTTTTTAACCTTGGCTGACATTCTGGTCTCCAGATCTTTGGCTGGCTCTTTTTATGCTCTCTGGGTCTTTTGTTACTCTCCCTTCCAACTCCCTGTTCTGGTTCTGGCCTCTAGGAACTTTAGTCCTCATACCCTCCCTTGGTGTAAGCTGTGGTTACCACCTCTCTCTCTTAGCCGTGACTCCCATTTAGCCATCCCTGCTCTCTGCCCTTCAAACCTTTCTACAATATACACCCATAAAGTTAGTTAAAAGTGTTTGACTTTAAGGAGTAGGCCTAAGCTGAACTACTAAGGAGTAGGCCTAACGCTGAACCACTCCCCTACGCATTCCTGATTCCAATCGAAAGCACAGATGAAGAAAGCAGAAGGGTTTAGAACTTCTTTGGAAATGACAGATAACTGGTTTAAAGCCATCTGCTCCATTGTCCTTGATTCTCTTCTCTCATTGCAGTATCTCTCAGTCCATCTCTCCTGCTTCATTCTCAGCCTAAGTTATTTGGTAGAAATTTTAGACTTAGTATTCTAAAACTAGCTTCTCAAATTCAACGACTTCAGCAAGTGGTTTCCAATATCCCGGTGAGCATCTACATATAGTATAGTAGTCACAGATCTTTGTAAATCATCCTGCCCTTTCAGATCTACTTCAGATCAGTTCAAACTCTTCTTTTTGCAACTTGAGGAAATTTCAAGAATCTCACCAGTATTTTTGTGAATTTTCAGGGTCTTCTCAGGGACTCCTCCATATTGAAGATGCTACCAAGTTAATTCTTCAATTTCAAAATGTTGTTATTCATTTAGGTGTGTAGCAAGGCATGGGTTGCTAATTGAAAAGCTCCTAAATGTGTCATCTTTAGCATCATCCTAAAATACTGACGCACTGTCAGATTCTAATGGCCTTGAGTATTTCTGATATTTTATTCATGCCTTAGAAAAATGCTGGCTGACTTTGTGAGCTTAGGCAAACTGTGATTTGTGTAGTTTACTTCTCTGTCAATGAAAAAATGTGTGTGGTGATGGGTTGTAATTAGTATTTTGGTGGTGAACATGATGTAATCTATGCAGAAATAGAAGTACAATGATGTACACCTGAAATTT